TGGGCGCGCCGCCCCTCTAACGCCTTAGGTCGCCCCGATCACCCCGCCGCTCCGGCCACCGTCTCTCTCCGCGCTCTTCTCCCCCCACCGCTCCTCCGAGCAGGGGAGGGCTGCAGGGGTGGCGGCGGAACGGCGTGCCCGGCAGGTGGAGCGCGAGGAGGCGTCCCGGCCGGAGGGCTCAGCCCAGTGCGCAGCTGGGCAAGTTTGGGGTTTGGCCCGGTGCCTAGAATCTTGACCAAATCCCTGTGGGCGGGCCGACCCGGGTTGTGCCCGTGCCCAGCTCGGTGCTCTGAGCCCCGGGGCTGGGCTGCCTTGGATGGCAGACCTTTGGGAAAAGGAATGTAAAGAGCTGCTCCTCAAACGGGACGCTGCGGGCGCCTTCTACCCCCATTTATTTTGGGAAAGCCGGTTGCACTTTCTCGTCCTGAACTCGTCTCTGCCAAGACTGACAGAGGAAATACTGTTACTATATTTATTTTCCCTTGGGAGAGTAAAAGAGGCAAATGCTCAGATTCCCAAGGAATCCCATTCCCAGTTTGTTTTCGGAAACTGAAATAAAGGCAACTTTAGGGACTGGCTTTAATTCCCCGAACTAGCCCAGTCTTGTCTCTTGATTTTCCCATCTGAGTCACCTTGGTTATACAGGTGAGGGCGAAAGACCTAAATTCTAGACAGGGCTTCGCGTGTAAAGAAAGGGTCTTTGCCAAGAGCAGGGAAGCCAACTGGGGTCACAGGGTTAAATTAGTTGGCAACCTTCTGTTTCTTTCTGTGAACCCTCCCTGGAACCTCTCACAAGTTTCTATCCCGGTGGGATTTTTTTTTTTTTTTGTCTCAGATTCTGCCAAGATCACAGTCAGTTTTGTGCCTGAATGACTGAATGAGCCCTTAAGTCACCTCAGACACTGGAGGAAGCCACAGTTCCTCTTCTTAAAAATGACAGTTTACTGCTCCCTCCCCCATTCTGCCTCCTGCACCCTTTGGGGGGGACCCTCCCAGGGAATTCAGGACTTGAGTTGTCCCCTGATGGAAAGCATTAGCCCCTGGCCATCCCTTCTAGCACGGGATCTGCCATTCCCGAGTTGCAAGCTACTTTCTCAAATCAGCTTATGAATTCTTTTAAGTTAGGGCAAATTTGGGGTTGTCTTTCCAAATGCCCAGTTGTTATCAGGAGGTTTTTGTATTAATAACTTTTGGCTTGGCCCTTGATCTGAGAAAGACTTCTTCCTTATCTTTTCCTCTTGCAAGTTTAAAATCCTACCCGGGAAGTTAGGGGCATTTTGCCAACTGAAGGAGACTTCATTTTCAGTTCAGAGTGTTGATGTTTTTGGTAACACAATGTATCTGCCTCATCATTTTGCAATAAAACAGACAGACTGCTAAGTGGATGCATTTGAGGGTTACCTGATTTACAGAGGGTAATCCAGCTCATCTTTCAGTGTTTGACTCTGGAGAACATTTTCCATTTCAAGTTTCACTGGTGAATGCTACCAATATGTTTACTATGCCTTTCAGCTGAGGAATTTGGGGGTTCCCCATCCTTGTAAAATTTCCTGTTCTCTTTAGAAGCAGATGAGTTGTGCTTTGAACACTCAGTCGATTAAAATGTTGGTCTGTGCAAAAGAAAGCATGTTGGGCCCAATCTTCAACTAATCAGAGCAGTTCTAATTAGAATCTTAGTCTCCTCCTGCTTCTCAGAGATTGAGGCCCTGCCCCCTTTAAAGGTGAACTTGAGTAATTATGGAATGATTAGGTATAGTGGTTTTAACAACAGAGTTAAAAGAAAAAGCAAGATGTACTTGGGCTCTCGAACATATGCAAAAATTGTAGAGAAAAGTTATTTGTGCTATTTTTAAATTTTGCTATTTAAACGCCTCATTCTATGTTTCCAAATTCCCAGTTTGAGCTCTCCCCGCTCCCAAGTAAGTAGAATGCCTCATCACTGTCTCCAGATTCTCAAATTGGTTTCTCTCATTTGCAAATCTTACCAAGCTGTTGATACGGGAGAAATTATTTTCCACGTTCCCACTCTGCATATTACATATTGTACCTCCTTCAAAACTAGCCTATCATATGTAGGCTCTGGCTTGATTTTCCACTATTTTGTAGGATGTGAAGGGATGGCTAGAGCTAAAGAACGGTGCAGATGCTACCCTATGACTAGCGCAAACATATTTCCAGACTTTGTCCTCATTCTTTCCAAGCCATTCTGCTAGACAGCCATGGCTTCTCAAGAAAAATAAGGATGAGAGCATCTTCCCAGAGAGATGGAGCTTTTAGGAGAGTCATTATTAAACGTGATGGTCAAGTTGCGAGATCTTGTATGTGAAGCTCCTTGGTGTTGTGTAAGCGGTGCTGAATTCTGCGGGGTGCCTTGCAAAGGTTCCTTTCCTTGGATGTTTACATATTTGTGACTCTCCTAAGGGCATCCTTGCATGGCCCCATGAGCCCATTGGCTGAACTCGCCATGTGGTCAAGGATTCTGGTTCCTACTGTTCCTCCAGCTGGTGAGTGTTTCTAGGGCCAAAAGTGACTGACCTACTGTGGATTGCACTAGGAATGTCCATGCCAAACTTCCTGAAATTGCGTCACACTTGGCTTCAAACAGGCGTGGTTGAGATGCTCACTTGAATTTGCATCCTGTGTGTTTTTGTTTCTGAGCTGGATCACCTGGCTCCCAGGAGAGGGCACTCAGTTTTAGGGTACTGCAAGGTAGAGGTGAGCTGTTTAGAGGCAAGCCAGTAAAAATACTTGAAAGCTTGTATGGGACTACTGAAATCTGTGGTCAGGAAGGTCTGAAAAAGAAAAATGAACGAAAAGAGACGGCCTGATGAATAATACTCATTTTACCTTCAGAGGAATCGTGTGTTTTGTTCTATACCCATGCCCAGGGGCCCAGGCTTCTTTTCTTTTCTTTTTTTTTAAATCCTCACCCGAGGACATTTTTGCATTTATCTTCAGACAGAGTGGGAAGGGAGGGGGGGCGCGGGGGGCGGGAGAGAGAGAGAGAAACATTGACGTGAGAGAGACACATTGAGTAGTTGCCACCTGCACAACCCCAACCGAGACTGGGGACAAACTGCAACCGAGGTACGTGCCCCCAGCGGGAACCGAACCCGGGACTCTCTGGTCCATGGGTCGACGCTCTAACCGCTGAGCCAAACCGGCCAGGGCACCAGGCTTCTGTTCTGTTGAAGTTCTAGTGGTGCTGAACCTTAGCCACACCTGGGACTCATCGGGGTGCTTTAAACAACAGGGATGTGTAGGCCCCACCGGGGACGTTCGGAGTTAATTGGTCTTAGGGTTTGGCCCAGGCATTCTAGTTTGCAAAGGTCTCCAGGTGATTTCAATGTGTAGCCAAAGTTGAGAAGCATCGGAAAAAGATAAGTAATTACACACACACCTTCCTCACCAGGAAAACTAAAAGCAAGTGGGGTGAGAAGTGGATCCCCCTCACCCATACCCACGTGGTGTGCTTCAGCCAAATCTTCCGATACCTGCAGAAAGCGAATGGTACTCGCCCTAAGCTATTCCAGCGTTCCGAGGCTGTGGGAACACTGCTTAAAACGATCTCAATGAAATGGTTCAGAATCGTAAGCTCAGGGTCTGCTCATGATTGCACTTGACCTTGAGCCCTTCTAACGTTGTGTGGGAGCCCTTGATCTGAAACAGAAATATGGAGAGGTCACCTGGGGTGCTGAAGGACCAGGCAGGGTGGGGGGTTCTTCTCTGGGCCCTGCCCCTCTTCTGAAGGAGTAGGAGCTCTGGGAACTGGGCTGGTTCCCAGCACAATTAAAGGCCAGGAGGGGCCGGGAGCTTCAAAGCTCAGGAAGCTGTGCCAGTTTTCTTCCTCGTCCCTTTCATGATGGGAAATGTTTCTCTGAAGATTTCTGTCATTCAGAGAAGGGAGACACTCCCCAGGTTAGGGGAGATGGCACGTCTGCCCGGAGCCCAGGCCGAGACATGATGGGGAGCAGTCACAGTGCAATGAAGAAAATCAGGCCTGGGAACCAGGAGACCCACATATTCTGTTCCCTTGGGCCAGCCGCTGAGCTCTCCAGGCCTCAGTTTCCCCGTCTAGAAACCAGCCTCCAGTGTTTGTCTGTTTGACTTCCTGAGCACCCATCATAGCTGACTGCTCTGTGGTCACTGAAGAGTCTGTGGAGGGAGGAGGCTGCTTTGAGGAGGACAGGGAAATGAGGGAGTGTGGGTAGCCCAACAAAGGTCAGTTTAGAATTGTGATTCTTATAAATAAAACCAATTTCCTGTTGAGAGCAGAGAGCAACAGAGTTAGTGGGAACGAGAATGCCATCAACCATGTTAGGAATTTGTTTCTCAAGGAATTTGTATGAGCGTGTCTCCAAAGAGCCACCCTCTAGACACTCCCATTGAGGGACAGATCAACTGAGGCCTAAGGAGATTAAACCAGAACTCAGAAAGTTGGAAACAGGAGAGAATTGTCCTGTAAATTGACTTTCTCAAGGGCAGACTTCCAAATAACAGCAGGGTTTATTTAGAAAGAGGTGCTCAAAGCAATTTCCGACTTATTCGTCTCTCTTCCATCTTCAGGACTGAGCCCGCATGCCTCCTCTTCCAGGAAGCCCCCCCTGTGTTCTCCCACTGTTTTAGGTGTAGCCTTATCAGTGCCCCTCCATCGTAGGTACTTAACAAGTACTTGTTGAATTACTGTCACATGGTCTTATGCAGTATGTCTGCTTCCCCTGTTAGACTGAGCTCCTTCCACACAGGGATCTTGTCTGTCTCTTCCGAGTGGCCTTTCCCCACAGCCCCTGGGACATGTGAGACTGGATGAAGGAAGTACAGGCAGTGGCGCTACCGAGCCTGCCGTGCTCTGGCCCTTGAGAGCAGAGTGGGTTGCGAGGGGAAATGAAGCCAGCCGCAAAGCCACGTTCCAGAAGGGGGGGTGCACGCTTGCAGCAGCTGCCCGAAGCTGTCCCAACTTGAGCCTATTTCTGTCTGTTCCAGCACAGGGGTGTTGCTGTCTGGTGGTACAGAGAAGGATCCTGCAGGTTTCTGCTTGTGAGTATGAGCCTGCCTGTGCCCCTCCGCAGCAGCTCACCCGGCCTCCAGGGCTCCCGAGGGCACAGACCTGGGGTGCCCGTGCTCTGGATGGAAGGCTGTGGGATCCCATGGAGCCGGGTGTCGGCCTGGGCACTCCGGGGCTCGGGGTTCTAATCTAGCCTTTGCCACTAACTCACTGTGCGACCTTGGGCAAGTCAATTAATCTCTCTGGGTTTTGTTTCCTCATCTGTACAAATGAGGATAATGGTCACTAACCTGCTTCACTGGCTGCTCGGTGGAATACCTTGTAAGAGCTACCGGTATCTACTTTGAGAAAAGACAATGTTAAATTAATTCAGGGAGGCAGATGCTCTGAAACCTTTGTGGCATGGTTCTGACCCCAACAGTTTCCGCCTTCCTGGGGGGGTGGACCTCACAGTCAATTTGGGCACCAGCTATGGCCATCACGTGCTTTTCGAAGCTAGAGGGAGCTCAGAGTTGGGGATGCAACCAAGCTTCTCAGAGAGAGCATCATGTGTTATTCCCCTTCCCCTGGATATCAGCTGGGAAGGAGCTGGGCGGGAGGTGTTCATTAACTCTTATGGGTGGAGCCACACCCTGGCCGTGCCCAACCTCCCCGCCCCCAACCTCCCTGCCCCCCATGTTGCAGGAAATTTATATGGGACAGACCCTGACATTCTAACAAGAACTTCAAGCTCTTGACTCATTTTCTATCATTTGGCTCTCACCTTCTCCCTAGTTAGTCTCCAAATAAACCAACCAAAAACTCCACTGAGAGGGAGCAGGAGGAAGAACATAGAGAAAGAGTAGGAGCTGGCTGCGTCGTGTCAGACTGGTGTGCAAACAGCTGAGCCCAGGGTCTCTGCGGGCGATCAGTGGTAGGGAGGCGTTGGAGGGCATCACACTCACAGAAACTCGGCTGTTGTCTAAACAGACCCGCTGGTTCTGTCACACTTCCTGGAGCCCCTCCCGGGGACGGCAGAGGGGGCCTGGTGGAGTGGGGAGCTCTGAACAGGGGTCAGCTCGGCACAGCACCTTGCAAATCCGACTTCAGCTGGTGATTAAACCGAGAGTCAGCTATCGGCTCTGCAGAGCAACCTGCTGCTCACCAGGTGAGCTTGGAGGTGGCTTTTCCAAGGAGGGTGGCCGATCATCCTGGTTTGCCCACTGACTGTCCAGCATGCCAGGAACCGCCTCGTCCCGGACAGACAGGGATAGTTGGCCACCATATTCCCAGGCTTCCGTTTTATTGAGAGGCCTAGATCAAGAATTTGGTTTCTCCATCGCAGAGATGAACCGGAACCAATCATTTAGTGTCTTCGACAAGAAAACAAAAGTCCAAGACTTAGAGACTCGCAGTTGGTCACTAACCACGAGTGACACACACCAGCACGTTAAGTGAAAACAGCCAGACCCAAAAGTCTACACACTGCACAATTCCATCTATGGGACTGTGTTTTGGAAAAGCCTAACTGTAGGGGAAGAAAACAGGTCCGTCGTTGCTGAGGTTGGAGGAAGGAGTTGCCCACAGAGGGGCACAAGGGAAATTTGTGGAATGATAGGAATCTTTGTTCTTTGAATCTTTTTGGTGGTAGTGGTCACAGAGCCCTGGGTACTGATGAAAACTCAGAACTGTGAAGTTATCGGGGCTTTTCCTCCCTTCCCTGTGTGTTAATTGTGCCTCCAGAAAGCTGGTTTTAAAGCACACCCGAGGGTAGCTGGTGATGCTGCGGAGGAAGGTGAAGACTCCGTCAAGCATACGGTGCTCATCACAGGTTGTAAAGGGAACCTCAGTTGGCGTGGCCGTGTCTGCAGCGAGCTAGGGGTGCAGCGGAAGAGGGTGAGGAATTGTGGTACAAGACAAAAATACTGACTGCTTGATGGCATCCTAAATGCCAGAGACGCTCCCTCAGGCAGAGGGCACGGTGGTCGAGCTCTGTCTACCTAGAGCCAACCACAGTTCTCTTTAGCCCAGGCGGCCGTGAGCCAGGAGGGTCCTGGCGCGTGGAAGCCTTCGGTTCCAGCCTGGGGACTGTTTCTGCACACACATGGATCGAATGTATTGACGTTGGCAGCCTTTCTGCAAAGCTGCCTTTTTTTTCTTTCTTCCCACCAATAAAGTTATTGAACTGAAACTGAGAACCCGGGTCAGCACTGTACTTTCTCCTGGCAGACTTTTTGAATTTGGCAGCCTGCTTGTCTACACTGGCTAGCTAGAAAGGCTGTCGAGAGGGGAGAACCTGTGATTTAGCAAAATAATGCACCTTGCAGCGCGTGGTGGAAGGGATAGGCCCTCCGGTTCCAGGCAGGGGGAAGCCTCTTGAGATGAGGGCAGAGTCACCGGCCCTGGCTGTGCCCACTGGGAGGTGGGGTGTGGAATCCCAGGAGAACGAAGGGGCAGCACGCTGGGGGTCCCTAGTGGAATCTGAAGCTCTTGGTGGCTTCTTTTGGAAAAATCAAAGCCCGTGTGGAATTGGCATTTCGGGTGCACTGTTTTGGCTCCGTGACGCAGAGTGCCAGGTTTGTCTGCCCGTCTCCCTTACGTACAGCGCGTTACAGGCTGTCGAACTTCCGTCCACGAAGATCGTATGGGCCCAGATCTCCTCCTGCCCGGAATTCCACAGAATTCCACATGTGCAGCTCTTCTTAATTGCAAATGAGTCCTAGCCACTAGTCACTCACAGGGGCCGGTCTCTGCCACCTCTTCTTGGGCTATTCAGGAAGATTTGGCGAATGGTAGCTGGTGCAGCCCTTAGTTCTAATGGCCTCAACTTTGTGGGGAGAACACCGGGGTGGGAGGGGAGGCAAGAAATCTTTTTTGTGCCTATTTGAAGGGAAGCTTCCCTGGCGCACAGCCGGGCTCGGCCTGGGGGTGGCCCACCTAGGAAGGGCAGGTTTGGGGCAGGCCGAGGGCCCACTTCTAGTGGGAAGCAGGGACCGGACGTCTGCAGAGAGACCCTGGGAGCGCAGGGGTGGGGAGTTCCAGATGCGTTTTTACCTGGGTGGCAAACTGTTGCCGCCATCTCCTCGGGGCCCCCTGGCACGCTGGCATCCTTTTGGGTCTGGGGACTGTCTTAGTCTTCCTGTTAGACCAACAAGAGGGAGTCCTGCCATTTCCTCCCATCCTCCACCCCCGTTTTCTTCTCTCCCAGTTTTTATACAACAGGATTTATTCATGTTCAGTAGATTCAAGTCCCCAGATGGGGGGAGAAAAAAAGATTGTGTTGAATGAGCTTATTGTTTGGAGGTTTCACTGACTTCTTTTATTGAATACCCACAGTCCTAGAACATATTGAGCTGATTTACTGAAATTCAAATATGGTCCTTTTGGAAGGAACGTGGCCTGGGTGCTCGGTACCCCTGGTCGGGGCCGGGGCCTAACGGGGCCAGTTTGCTGGTGGTAGCTCATCTCCGTCCCCATAGTGACGGGTCTTCGTAGGAACAGATATTCTCAGTTACAGTCCCAGACTCTTCACGAGCTTGAGATGGTCACCACCCTGCTGCCCTTTGCGGTGTCCAGCCGTTTGTGGAATCCCCGTCTAGCACATTCTTTAAATAAGTGAAGAGGACCCTGGCCACTTTGGCTCAGCAGTGAGAGCATCGGCCTGCGGTCCCGAGAGACCCGGGTTCGGTTCCCGCTAAGGGCACGTACCTCGGTTGCAGTTTGTCCCCGGCCCTGGTTGGTTGTGCGGGTGGCAGCCACTCGATGTGTCCCTTTCACGTGGATGTTTCTCTCTTTCTCTCTCTTCCTCTCTCTCCCTCCCACTCTATCTGAACAAAAAATGGAAAAATGTCCTTGGGTGAGGATAACAAAAAAAAAGGAATAAAGAGGGGGAGCCTGGCCGGTGTGGCTCAGTGGTTGAGTGTTGACCCATGCACCAAGAGGTCGCTGATTTGATTCCCGGTCAGGGCACATGCCCAGGTTGTAGGCCTGATCCCCAGTGGGGGGCATGCAGGAGGCGGCTAATCGATGTTCTCTCTCGTCAATGTTTCTATCTCTTTCCCTCTCCTTTCCTCTCTCTCTAAAATCAGTAAAGAAAAAAAATCTTTAAAAAAAAAGTGAAGAGGGGCACGGCCATTCAGTGCCACAGTTCACAGAGGTCCCCTGTGGCTTCTGCGTGGCAGTGTCCTGCGCGGATGGGAGGAAATGGATCGTGACGCGGCAGATCTTGGGCAGAAGCAGCACGTGCCGACCTCAGGCCTGCGGCTCCAGTGTGTCATGCGGAGCGGCTGCTCCGTGGCAGGCGAGGCGGAGTTGGATCACGTGTCTTTTTGCGTGTCTTAGAGATGGGGTCCCTACGGTCAGTGCTGCTGAGGCTGAGGCCCACGGTGCATAAGATACTCGAGGGCGGTGGTCTGCGTGGCCACACACGGTTGCTCTGTGACAGCTGCAGGTGTCTGGGGCCCTTGGGGATCTGTCTCCGGAGAGACCTGCAGGCACTTGAGCTGGGCTCACGTCTCACTGGGAGACCGTGGAAACCCGGGTCTGGTTCAAGTCAGTAACGTCCCAGATGCCCTGGAAGTGAGCCTGTGGCAAAGCAGGTCAGATTGATGACAAAACCATCACCCAGTGTGAGAGCCCCCCCCCCCGACCCCCGCCGGCTGTCTTTCATTCACTCTTTCTCCCCTCTTGACTTTCTCCCACTTTCTCTGTTTTCTCCTGCCAATCCGGTCAGGTCTCCTGGGTCTTGAATCTAGAAAAGGGCTTCCCCCTGAGAACTTGAGGCCAGAAAGAGAAAGCCTCCCCTTGACCCCAGGTCCCTGGTGGCCCCAGGCGCTCCTTTCTAGAAGCTGTGGCTGGCGCCCAGGCTCGTCCAGGAGTCAGGGTGGGGAACATGGGGCTCTCTCTCAGCCAGAGGGGATGCCCACGTTCCCTCCTGAGTGAAACTGTTTGCCGTGGGCCCTGCCACTTTGTCAGGCCTGCAACAGTGTCGCAGCGCACGGCCAGCTGCATGGACGGTCACCTTCCCCAGCCTCTGTGGCCGAGCCATTGGCTC